TATCTTAATTTGCCAAGATCCTTTGTCTGGAAGTGATCATGCAAGTAAGTCTTCAACTTGTCAATTCCTGGTCCGTCACTGCCTGTGATAACTATGTCATCTACATATACCACCAAGAGAATCTTTCCAGCATTTGATTCATAGCTGAATACGGAATGGTCAACCTGACACTGTTTCATTCCAAACTTCCTCACCACTTCACTAAATCTCCCAAACCATGCACGGGGAGATTGTTCAAGTCCATAAATAGCCTTCTTAAGTCTACATACCTTCTCACCCTCCCCTTGAGCAACAAACCCTAGTGGTTGCTCCATGTACATCTCCTCAAGAAGATCACCATGTAAAAAAGCATTCTTGATGTCAAGCTGAAACAAGGGCCAATCAAACATAGCAGCAAGAGAAATCAAAACACGACCTGACCCAATTTTGGCAATCGAAGAAGTGTCTGTGTAATCAATACCATACTACTATGAATAACCTTTGGCAACTAACCGAGCTTTCAACCGTTCAACACTCCCATCAGGTAAGTATTTAACCGTGTACACCCACTTACAACCGACAACATGCTTACCAAGCGGAAGAGTGGTGAAGTCCAACGTATGAGTACGAGTCAGAGCCGAGAGCTCTTCTTCCATTGCTTGGCACCACCCTGGAGAGGTGAGGGCTTCTTGGACATCCTTGGGAATAGAGACAGAGGATAACAAAGAAACAAACTATCGATGGGAAGCCGAAAGGTGAGATATAGAAACATAATTGGAAATGGGGTGGAGAGTGCAACTACATTTACCTTTCCGCAAAGCAATAGGAAGATCAAGGTCAGAACTTGGGGTTGGGGCTGGGGTGAGATCAACTGTCGGATCTGTCGACGATGACGAAGCTGGGGGAGGAGCCGGTGCCTGACGATGTGTATACACTTGCCAGATAGGTGGTCCTCTCTTAGGTAGCTGCACTGGAGGCAAAGACTGGGTCACAACTGGAAGAAGGAGAACGGGATCCTCAATAGGAACTGGAAGAGGGGGTGATGGCAACGGAGAAGTATCCGACCTGGAGAAGAAAGGAACAGACTCAAAAAATATAACATCAGAACACACAAAAGAATGCCGAAAACGAGGATTATAACACTTATACCCTTTTTTGAGTCCTGGAATAGCCAAAAAAGACACACTTAGTGGATCTAGCATCTAACTTGTCCATTCCAGGCCCAAGATTATGAACGAAACACGTGCATCCAAAAACTCTAGGAGTAAGGGGAAAAGGAGACAACGTGGGAAACAGAACAGAGAAAAGGGACTGACCTTCAAGGATAGACATGGGCATGTGGTTAATAAGAAAGCAAGATGCAAGTATAGCATCACTCCAAAAGGGTTTGGGGACATTCATCTGATGTAAGAGGAACTGAATAGTTTCCAAAAGGTGGCGGTTCTTTCTTTTTTTTTTTTTTGATAATTTGGCGGTTCTTTCTTTCAGCCACCCCAATTTGTTGACGGGTGTAGGTACATGAGGTTTGATGGATAATGCCATGTTGTTCCAAATATTCTGGAAAGGGTGTGGAAAAATAATCGCGGCCATTATCAGAACGAAGAATTTTAATATATACACCAAATTGATTGCAAATTTCAGCATAAAATTTCTGGAAGATAGAAAACAATTCACTCTTTTCTTTCATAAGGTAAAGCCATGTCATCCTTGAATAATCATCAACAAAAATTACAAAGTACTTGTAACCATTAATAAGACACTACTTTGCTTGGACCCCAGATGTCTGAATGGACTAAAGAAAAAGGACTCGATGTACGACTATCAACTCTAGGACTAAAGGAGACACGATGATGTTTCCCAAACTGACACGACTCACAATTTAAATTAGAAAGACGACTCAACGACGAAACAAGTAACTGAAGAGCTCTAAGAGACGGATGACCAAGTCTACAATGCCACTGATGAGGGGAGAGAGATGACTGAAGAGCTATTGTTGAACCACCTCCATCAAGACAATACAACCCACCAGCTTCATGCCCTCCACCAATCTTCATCCCCGTCTTGAGATCCTAAAACACACAAGAGGAAGGATAAAAAGTTATTGAGCAATTAAGAGACTTAGTCAATTTACTAACAGATATCAGGTTAAAGGGAAACTTGGGAACATATAAAACTAAGGAGAGGGATAATGAGTCTGTGTCAACATTACCAACACCACGTATGGCTGATGTAGAGCCATTGGCAAAAGTAACAGATTGGGAAGTGGAGGATAGAGAAATGGATGAAAACACACCTGGAGTTCCAGTCATATGATCGGAAACTCCAAAATCTATAATCCAACGGGAAGGTGTGGATGCCAGACAAGACGTACCTGTGTGTGCAAGGGTAGCCACATTTTGTTGAGATGTATCCTGAATGAACCGCTCATACTCATCCCGTGAAACACTCACCATCTCCTTTCTGGAAGTATCTGTAGATGTAGTGGGGATCTGATCAGTAACTTGAGATTCTTGTCTTGAGTTACCACCATTTACAGCTGCATGATTTGCCCAGGCTGAAGGTGGGCCATGTAGATCATAACAAAAGTTGATAGTATGTCCCTCCATACCATAATGAGTACACCTTATCTGAGTATTACCACGTCCCCTACCACAGGCTCCTCTTGAGTCTCGTCCTCCAACACGACCACCACCACGATTATACATGCCGCCACCACCACGACCATACAGGGGTCCACCACCACTTCCACGACCATGCTAACCTCCGCCTCTCATAACTGCAAATGCAGACCTATCTGACATAGTGGAAGTCTCTGTGGGTCCAACAGAAATCCTCCGAAGATGAGCAAACACTTTCTCAAGAGAGGGAAGAGCAAATCCACCTAGTATTTGTGCCCTTACGAGTTCATACTCAGACTACAGCCCTACTAAAAATCTGGTCACATCCAACTACTCTCTTTGTTGTTGCTGAATTTTGACATCAGGTGTAAGAGGATGATAAACATTCAACTCAT